GGTGAAGAATTCGGTGGTAATTGAGCCAGGCTCTTCCATGAAGCTTAGGAGCTGGTGTTGGAGACAGCAACACTATTTTTGAGTTCTGAGAAGCCGGTCTAGGTTTACTCCTCATCTGATTCCTGGGCAGACAACAGGAGACCCTCATGGGGTGCCACCCTGGGCCCTGCCAAGTTCTGTCTGTGACTGTGACGCTGATCTTCACGCAGCCTGCTCTCTTCTCCCGGGGCACTGAGTGAGTGAGGGGCTGGGCCCTCGGCCTGGGAAGAGGGGCGTGTTCCTGACATACTTGCAGGAGAGCAGCTGGCAGGAGCAGGGAAGGTAGTTTCTGTGTCTTGTGGATTTACTGTCCTTCGCGGAAACCCTCCTACGTGACTTTTGCAAGCCAGCCTCCGGCTCAGCGTTCCACCCACCCCCACCTCCCGCTTTTCTACTGTGCTGGATAGTTAAGTCCTTTGTCAGGCATTATCTCATGATTTCCCCAACAGCCCTGTGAGGTGGACAGGCGGGGTTTTCTCATCCACATTTGACAAGGGAGGACCCTGAGGCCCAGGGAGTTGAACGGGCTGCCCAGGGTTATGACCAGTTAGTGGATGGGCCCTGACCAGAACCCAAGTCTCCAGACATCAGCCCAGAGATGCAATTTGGTGAGTGAAGGAAAGGCTTCATTTCTGTTCAGAGTTGTCATGGGCTCTTAGGAGCTTTCTGACAGGAAGCTTTCTGAGGTGAAACCTCAGGTGGCAGGTGGAGGAAAACAACTGAGAAGGCAGCTCCTTGTCCAAGCCCACGAAGCTTTGGTGGCAGGTCATGGGGACCAGGAATTGGACCTCCGGACTACCCTCCCTTTGCTGCATTCAGGTTAGGAACTGACTCTTGCTAGGGAGGCGGGAATAGGAATATGCATGCTCTGCCTATGTACATCAGTGTTTCAGCATTCCCATAATTTTTGAATTAGTGTTGGCAGTCACTTCCCTTATGGTCGGATGGCTCCCCTCTGCTCCCTCCCGGGATATACCCTGGGTGGCTCTGTCCTAACCTAGAGGGGCTCTCGCTGTCCACCCCTTGCCCCATAGCCTAGCTGAGCGACTTCTGCATCCCAGGGCCTGAATTTCTGGCTTCAGAGCCTTCCTGATGGGCAGACAAGGGCTCATCACCATCACTGCTTCCACCTGCCCTTGGGTCTTCTGGGGGGCGTGACGAAGCCACCTCAGGTCTGGCTTTCGTGCATCTGCTGTGGGTACAGTGACCAGGGGGTGCCCAGCTGCAAACTTCCATTCCTGTTATTTCCCAGAGCCCGGGGTGATCTTCTGCCTTGATTTGCAAATCAAGGAAAAACTGTCCTGGTGGAAGAGATGATACTCCTCCCCTCCCATCCTTTTCTCCCCTCCCATCCTCCTTCTAATGATCAGATCAAAGAACTAAGGGAGAGGGTAATATATCAATACTGAAGAGGGCAAGGAATAGTATGAGTAACAGTGGTGTACTTTTTTCACCTAGAAAATGGAGATAATCAGAAGACTGTTGTAAGCTGGTGCTTCTCAGCTTGGACTGCACGTCACGGTCACCCAGAAAGCTTTTAAATATCTTGATTCCCAAACTGCAGCCCAGACCCTGGAGATCAGAATCTCTGGAGGTAGGACCCAGGCAGCAGTAATTTTAAAATTCCCCGGGACTTCCCTGGTGGCCCAGTGGTTAAGACTCTGCGCTTCCACTGCAGGGGGCACGGGTTCGATCTCTCGATCTCTGGTTGGGGAACTGAGATCCCGCATGCCGTGCAGTGTGGCCAAAAAAAAAAAAAAAATTCCCCTGGTGATTCCAGTGTGCAGCCAGGGTTGAGAACCACTGCTCTAAGGATGAAAAGAGTTGGTTAACTGCTTAGAACAAAGATATCCCCATATCTGGTTGTGCACTGGACTCGTCAGGGGGTGGGGTGGGGATGTGTTAAAATCGCACTGACGCCCTGGCCACACATTGCAGACCATGTAGATCAGTGATGTCTGCCTTCACGTGAGCCACTAACCAATAAGACGTAATAGTCACCGTTTACTGGAGCTGCCTGTGGGCCGGCACGACATATTTCCGGTCTTCACAATTCCCTGGTAGGGAATCACAGTTCCCATTTTACAGATAAGGAAACTGCTGCTCAGAGCAGGTAGCCAGGCGGCGTAAGTTTCCTGAGGCCAGGCCTGTCTGACCCGGAAGGCTGCTCTCCCTGCCCAAGGCCTCCCTGTCCCAGGGCTGGCCTCGTGGAGCATATTCTGCACACTTCCCAGTACCAGCTCAAGGAGAGAGGGGAAAACCAGCAAGTGGCCTTGGCTCTCCTTGAGGCTCTCCAGGGCAGGTTGAGTAGAGGACCGCTGTCCCGTGAAGAGAGGGAAGATGAGTGACGTTACTTGGTATTTGGGTCTGTGTTAGTCACGCACTCTCAGAATACCTCCTTTTGGCTGGAGGAAGACGCCTGCTCGTGTTAGGCCTGACCCCCAGTCACCTCTCCTTGCCGCAGCTGCTCTCACAGAGAGAACACTCAACCAGGAAGAGCAAACACTCATTTGCTTTTTGAAAGTTGGAGGAATTTTTCAGGCATGTGATACAGAAAAATGCCCCCGTTTCCCTCACAGGAAAAGGGAAAGCTCTGTCAAGGTAACCTGAAATATTTAGCTCTGCCTTACAAAATCCCTGTGTCTCCACTTCTGTGCTCTGTAAACTTAAACAAATCGCTTAAAATCCTTAAGCTTGGTTTTCCCATCCCTCAGGGCTGCCAATGCCAGGCCCCTTGAGGTGTCAGAGAGAGAGGAAAGGAGTGTGGCCATCCTGACACAGAGACTTACAGCTGCCTGGGACTGGAGACTTTGTCCAGGGTTTGGTGGCACCCACTAAATAACCTGATGTCCCAAGGCCCAAAGCAGCTTCCAGTGACCAGAGATCTCACTGAATGTGTTCCCTCTGACTTTGGGAGGCTTGGCTTCACTCTACCTGTGTCAACCCCTAGTGTGTAGACAGCCCAGAGCCAATATTTGGGGCATACATAGCTGAGTTAACTCTAATAGTTTAGAGTTAGCAGACAGTGTGATAGACATTTGGCTGCACAAAGGCTTCCCAGCCCAGCCAAGCAGCCAGGGCCCTCTCCCTCCCCAGAGCTCCATCTGTATCTGATGTGTGTGCCTTTGGTCCCTGCCCCTTACTGTGCAGCTCAGAGCCTGGCACAGAGTAGATGCTCAGGTAGCACCGGGTGATTGGGGGATGAGGGGATGAAGAGATGCATGAACCTGTGTTTGGCAACATCTCTAAGGTGGTTGCCACAGAATGCTATTTAAGTGTTGGCATATATATTCCTTACTAGCTCTACTTGACTTTTTTTTTTAAATCACTTTGGTTTATTTTGAAGGCTGTCTCACTAAGGATTATTCTAGTAATGGAGCGGTTCAGATGTGATGCTGTTTTCTGAGGTTGAGGCATATATCCAGAGCACTTGTGTGTAACTTTTACTCCAGAGCCACTAAGAGAGTACTTCTCAAGTGTGGAGTCTCATGGCCCCTTGTTTAGCCATTAAGCTGAACCTTAACATTTTCTGAGTTCTGTCTCAAGCAGTGGGTATTGTGGTTGGCAAGAAAACATGGGGCACTGGTGGAAGGGGAGTGGGAAGACCCACAGGAGGGTGGCCACTGGGCAGTCACCAGGGACTTCGAGTGGCCCCCACCAATTGCCTGGACTGAGATGGTGAAACAGGAGGCCGCTGCCCTTCCCTGTGTGTGTGTGTGTGTGTGTGTGTGTGTGTGTGTGTGTGTGTTTGTGGTGGGGGGGCTGCCCCTGAAGCACTCAGGGAGGCTGGCCTAGGGCCACCTGCCACTCTGGCAAGGACACCATTTCATGATTGCTGTCTGGGTCCCTGGAGTGAAGGATTTTCAGGCCCAGCCCTGAAGGGCATTAAATGTCATCTTGACTCCTTTAACTCTCTTGGTGGCTTTGTGAACAGTGGGCTGGGCACTCGGCCCTGGGGCCTGGCATTGCCATTAACTCTGTGATGACCTCAAGTGAGTCACTTGATGTCTCCTGTGCCTCAGATTCCTAACATTTTACGATTCTGTGGTCCTATCAGTCTTCTCACCGTGATGAACACCCACTGTGCTTACTAACAATGTTAGGCTGCCTCCACCCCACCCTCCCCTCCACCAGGATCCCCCCGAACCCAGCTGGCATAGCCTCTGGCCTCGTCCTTAAGTGCATCATCCTCATATTAGCTCTGTCCCCTATAGTCTGACTACTTGGCTCATGTCAGGTAATTGAGATTTTTATTTGTTGGGAGGGGTTGGAAACAAAGGTACAAACATGAGACTATAGAGGTGCTTTGTCCCCTCACAATTCCAAATAGATGAATTTGTACTTGCTTCCAGATAAGGGAGGCCCAAACAGAGGATTGTTACTGTTAGTATTTTGACCATGCTAACCATTTTTTGCTTTTTATTCTATTTATTTATTTATTTATTTATGCCACACCTCACAGCACGTGGGATCTTAGTTCCCCAGCGAAACCTGTGCCCCCTGCAGTGGGAGCATGGGGTCTTAACCACTGGACCACCAGGAAAGTCCTGCTTTTCCTTAAAAATCTTTTCATTAAGTAGTATAAACCTCTGGACATTGTGGTTTCATCTGGTAGACACAAGACAGGGGTTCTAGCTGAGGCTTTGGAACGATGAGGCTGTGTCATCCAGATCAAACCAGTAGGCTTTCAGGGCCTCAGTGTTCCCATCTGTACACTGGGAGTGACAATACCAACATTCCTTCCTAGTAAAAGGTAAAGGATTCATATGAACAGAAGGGAAGCCCAGTACTTACTCTGTCTCAGTCATTGGTTGATGGCCAGGTGGGGATGCTGGCTGGTGGCATGATTTGTCCTGCCCTGGAAGAATGACTCTGAGTTACTGTGGCCTAGGGGTGACAACCAGGTCACTTCCCCAGTAACCACAGTGATGCCCTCCTTGTGTGGGTCTGTGTCCCCACAGTGGCCAATTCGCCATCGTGAAGAAATGCCGAGAGAAGAGCACGGGGCTGGAGTATGCAGCCAAGTTCATCAAGAAGCGGCAGAGACAGGCCAGCCGGCGGGGTGTGTGCCGGGAGGAGATCGAGCGGGAGGTGAGCATCCTGCGGCAGGTGCTGCATCCCAACGTCATCACGCTGCACGACGTCTTCGAGAACCGCACTGACGTGGTGCTCATCCTCGAGCTGTGAGTGGGTGCCTGGGACTGGGGGGGCGGGGCAGCAGGGTGCAGGGGAGCTCCAGCCACAGGCCCCAGAGGGAGCAACAACCTGACAGAAGCCCGACCTGGAGGAGATGAAGTCAGTGGGAAGTGGTTTCCCTCCTTTACCCCATCCTCCTCCTGAACCCGGGCTTGCTGTGCAGCAGGGACTGAGGGCGAGGGTCTAGGTCTGACTTTCACTGGACCCTGGGGATCAGAGGGAAGAAGTGGGGAGTGCTGGGCTCCTTTCCTGGCTGGTGAGCACGTGGGAGGGTGAGGGGGGCAGAGGGTGGAAGGCGGAGCAGGGGGCTGTCAGGGAGAGTCTGTTCTACGAGGAAGGGAAGAACAAACATCCTCCAGGCTCTGCAAAGCCCTTCTCAGCCCTTTCCTGGGAAAAACCCCCCTGCCTTTGTGCTGTGTTTGATGCCTTTATTGTTATCATAGTCACTATTACTTAGAGGGTCCTGCTGTAAGCCAAGCGTTTGCTAGGTCCTTCGTGTTGTCTTGTTCAGTCTTCACAGAAGCTGTGTTGAGGGTAGTGTCCCACTTACGCCAAGAGGACTTTGTATTCGCTTTGCTGAGAATGTCTGTTACCTCATTTAATCCTCATAACAATCCTATCCCATGGAGACTCTTATTACCTCCATGTTACAGACAAGAACACTGAGAGGCTGGGTCATTTACAAGATCCTACAACCAGGACGTGGCGGGGCCAGGACCGGGTCCACACTGCTTGTGCAGATAGCTATGCGCTTGAGGTGGGATGGCCTTGGGCTGGCCCTGCAGGGGAATCCTTCACAGTCTGGTGGAATTTGGATGGGTAACACCACGACTCCAGGGGTTGATTGGCCAACTGGTGTCCCTCCTGGAGATGCCCCCCATGGATTGGGGAGGTGGAGGTGGGCCTCCGGCGGTTAGTAGAGTTTGAGTTGGGCTGTGGCACAAGTTGAAATGGCTGTGTCTAGTCAAGCAGCAAGACCGGGTGTCAAGAATGTTCTGAGCCTCAGAGGCGTGAGGTGCCTGCCAGTTAGCAGAGAAGTGGCAGCATTTGTCTCAGCAATCCCTGACTTTGTGACCTGGGGCAAGTCACCTCACCCCTCTGAACTATAAAGGAGGCAGCCATCCTTAACCTGCCTGTGGGTTGGGTGGACCACCTGACATTTGAGACCATTCTAATTTGAGAACTATGCTCTGGTGTTGTCAGCCTATAGATTTATGTAGCAGATGGGCATTTGCATACTTTTGCATTGGATTCTTAAATTATCCATCTCAATGTTTAAGTGCATAGAATTACCCATGCTCTCCCTTTGTCTAACTCCCAATGTCCTCTGTGTTTCTCCCAGGGACCTCTTAGCCAATTGGACCAGTCAGTGTATACACCTGCCTCACTCAGACAAGCCTGGTGGGTCCCCACAGATGTAGCCAGCCAAGTGGATGGCCTGAGGTGTGGCAAGCCCCAAGACTAAGGGTTAGCACTGGTTCCCAGCAGAGAGTGACAAGCCCACCTTTGCTGGGAAAGCCAGGCCAGTTCTTTAAAAGTCTGTTGTCAAAACTTTACAGCAACTAAAAAGGATTACATTCATATGCCTACCACCCAAACACAGCTATTTGTTTCCCTGTGGTTCCTCTCAGTCTTTATCTATTTGCATGCAAGCATTGTACTTGTACAATTTCCTGCTCTACTTTTCCCCCAGTTAACATAATGCCATGAATAGCTTTTTCCCTTTTAACTGACTATATCATGTTTCATTACATTACATACCCGTATCTCCCTGTTGTTGGACATTTGGTGTTTTAATTTCCAGCTTTTAACCATTATGCATTTTACTGCCATAAAACAACTTTCTTCCTGTGTTTTCCCCCTTTTCTTTAGGATTAATTTTTTTAGACAGATCCTCAGGAATGGGGCAATTGGGATGACATTTTTAGGGCTCTTGATATCCTCACTTTCATAGGACAGGTTAACCAGCACCACGTGCAACATGGGAGCGTTTCTTTCTGCCTGCAGCCTTGCCAGCCCTGGGTCATTTGTTTTAAAGCAGGGTTCATTATTGTCTTTTACAGTTATGATACTTTTTTGTCATTTTAATTGGCATTTCTGTCATTGCTGGGGTAGTTGTCTGTTACTCCCTGTTTGTAGAACCCCAGGAGTTGGGGTCTCGTATGCTCTTGAGATGTCCCTGTTTCTCCCAGCAGGCTTCATGGCTAACCAAGAGTTACATGCCCTCTTCTTGTGAGCTGTCACTGCCTGTAACATCAGTTGTCACACTGGTGCTCCTGTGAGCTGCTGTGTTTGTGAACTTCTGTCTGTTCGTAGTTTCTCTGTCTCCTCCTTTACTTTCAAGCTGCCTCATTGTCTCAGGGTGCCTGGCTATGGAGCTAGGGATTGCTAAGACAGTGCCTCAGTCTTGTGTGACCAGGGTCTGAGAGGAGGACCTTCCAGGAGAGAAGGGCTTTTCATGGGCTTTTATGTTTGGACGTGGTGACCTCTGTTGGGCTGGTTAGGAGCCTTTGGCCTCCTGGTCCTCACTGTGCCCTGCTAGGCTAGTGGGTTTGCCTGGTACGTAAACACGGGTGTCAGAGCCCACCTGCTCAATTGATATTTGCAGGGTTTGTGGATGGATCTACCTCTCAGCGCTGTTTAGTGCAGGGCTTCAGCTGAAGTGGCCAGTGCTCAGAGGACATTCCCAACCCTGATTTAAGTCCCCTTCAGCTGTTTTTACCCTGTCCATGATCGCCTTGCAGCAGCTGTCAGGACTGGTGATGGCAGGGTTGGGAAGGATTGAGTTGTCCATGTAAGTTGACTTCTGTAGGGTGTAAAGAATATTTTCAAACTCTCAGTGGATTAACTCATGCCACATGTGGAGCTGGCTCTGAAAAATGCAGGTCTGCCCCGGGAGGGTTGGGCAGCCTTCCATCCCAGGCCCCTGACCTCTCTGGGGCCTCCCTGACTCCAAACTGTGGAAAGCAATACAGCGGCGGGAGCATACCAGGGCAGGGCCTGACAGAGCGCTCCAAGGTGGTGGCAATGCTTCCCAGGCCTTGAATTGAGTCCAGCTTTCTGGGCCCCAACAGCTCTGGCAGCATCCTTCCCAAATCACTGCCTACACAGGTCATTTGAGCACTCCCTCTAAATGGTTGGTTGCTTTTGAAAGAGTTCTGAAAAGCATTTCTAGCAGCCAGATGAAACTGCAGGGAGGAAGGAGGCAAGGGTCAGATTAGCAGGAAGGCGACTGGTCCTGGGGACACTGGAGGAGAGCAGAGGCTGGCTGTTAGGTTTTGCTTTTCCTCTTTAAGTCAAATTGTTTAGGGGTGTGAGAGGAGAGAAGCTTGGGTGGAGTGGGGATGACTCCATGGCAGAGATCTTGGGGCTGAGAAGCCCTTGGGAGAAACTAGGTTTGGGGGTAGAAACAAAACCCAGGCTCCTTGATGGCCTTGGGAACAGGTGCCTGAGGATTGATGTGAGTGTCCCTGGCCTGGGTGTCCAGGGCTGGGACAGATACCCGGCAGGCTCGTCAGCCTCCCACCTTTCCAAGTCTCTGGGGACGATTCTGAGGGTCACCATGGCTGTTCCCCTCTTCGTCCAAAGGAGATCATGTCTCACTCCGTCCCCTGCCCAGATCACATCTTCAAACAGAACAGCTGATTGCTGTACCCCAAAGTCCTCACCCTGCCTGGGCCTTTACATCAGTAATTCCGGGTGACAGAACACATCCACATTATCATGAAGTTCTTTTACATTTACTCAGTGTTCTGTTTAAGGTAGGAAGGGCAGGATATGCCTGAGGTCACAGCCTTGCACCACCCAGCAAGGCTGGAAGTATAAAAACAAGGACTGGGCTAGGTCCTTGTGTTCCTGAGGGACACTGTGGATTTGAAAATTTACAGAAGGCTCTCGACAGGTCTCTTGAAAATGCCAAGACTTCACTTCTGTATGATACAGAATATTCTGTGCCATGTTGATATTTTAAATGTCTTACTTCTTTCCTTTTTTTTTTTTTTTTTATTCGCCCACCTTCTCTTGAATGTCTTGCACAAGGTGCTGTGGAAGCAAAGGTAATCTAGCTGGGGAGAGAGCCAGCCAGACAGTGGCAGCCCAGTGTGTGAGGGCACGGATGCAGTCAGACAGGGATGGCAGATGACAGCCTAGGGCTTGGGGTGGCTTTGGGTTTTCTTTTTTGCATCAGCAACTCAAGCCTTATAATACGGGTAGAGTGTGGGGAGAGGAACACGTGGTGCACCGGGATTGAGAAGATCTGGATCTAAATCCTGGTTCTGCCACTTACTAGCTGTGTCACCTTGGGCAAGTCACTGCTCTCTTGGGGCCCCAGTTTCCTTGTTTGGGAAACCAGGACAGAAGTTCCATCTACCCCTCAGGGCAGATGTGAGTCTCAAGTGAGAGAATGCTTGGGGAAGTAACATCACACAGGTGGCAAACTCTAAATAAACTCAAAAACAAGCCCTCTTCCAGCACTACCACCCCCAACAATGATATGGTGCATGGTATTGGACTGGGATCTGGGACTTGGACATGGTCTTGACCATGCACTCTCTTGCTAGGAGACCTTGCATGGGCACTTCCCCTCCTGTGGGCTTGGTTTCCTAATCTGTTACGGAAGAACTTCCAAGTGATGATGGTTTCTGTGCAGGGGTCACTGAGGGAGAGCGAGGAGTTTGCTTCCCTAGAAGTTTACTGTTAGCCTCTTATTATGGAGGATTTCAAACATATACAGAAGTAGAGAGAAGGATGTAAGAACCCTCATAGGCACATCCCCCAGCCTCACATTATCACCATTTTGCCAGTCTTGTTTTACATCAAATCCTACTTTCCCCGACTCCAACTGTTTGTTTGCTGCACTACTTTAAAGCAAGCCTCAGACATCATGTCATTTTACATACAAACACGTTAGTATGCATCTCTCATTGACTGCAGTTTTTAAAATGCAGCCACCATGGATTTATCACACCTGACAGAATGATCCAACCAGCCAGGCCCCAGACCACCGAGGCTGTCTACACTCCAGTCCATAGTGATATTCCTGATGGACCCAAAGATACCTTTTTACGGTTGTTTTATTTGAATTAGCATCCAAATGAGGGAAGTCCACATGCTGTGTCTGGTTCTTTTGTTTCCCATGTCTCTTATTCTATGGCAGTTCTCCTTCCCTCCCTTCTAAAATTATTTATTTATTTATTTTTGGCTGCGTTGTGTCTTTGTTGCTGTGCGCAGGCTCTCTCTAGTTGTGGCGAGCAGGGGCTACTCTTCGTTGCAGTGCACAGGCTTCTTATTGCGGAGCACGGGCTCTAGGCTTGAGGTTTTCAGTAGTGTGGCTCGTGGGCTCTAGAGTGCAGGCTCAGCAGTTGTGGTGCACGGGCTTAGTTGCTCCGTGGCATGTGAGATCTTCCCAGACCAGGGATCGAACCCATGTCCCCTGCAATAGCAGGCGGATTCTTAACCACTGTGCCACCAGGGAAGCCCTCCCTCCCTTTTTTGATGCCATTGATTTGTTGGGAGAATTAGGTCATTTGTCCTGTTGATTGTCTCACAATCTGGTTTCATCTTATCCCTTCCTCATGGTGCTGTTTAACTTGTTCCTCTATGTCCTGTATTTCCTGAAACCTATAGTTAGACCTAAACAAGATACCCTTCCTATTGGTGATGTTCAGTAGAAATATAGTGCAAACCACATATGCAGTGGAAATGCCAGATTTTCCAGCAGCCATATTGAATAAGAACTAAAAAGATCTAGATAAATTAGGTTTTTTTGTTGTTGTCGTTTTTGCGTTACGCGGGCCTCTCACTGTTGTGGCCTCTCCCGTTGCGGAGCACAGGCTCCGGACACACAGGCTCAGCGGCCATGGCTCACGGGCCCAGCCGCTTCGCGGCATGTGGGATCTTCCTGGACCGGGGCACGAACCCGTGTCCTCTGCATCGGCAGGCGGACTCTCAACCACTGCGCCACCGGGGAAGCCCCGGAAATTAGTTTTAATAATATTTTTTATTTAACTCAGTGTATACAAAATATTATCATTTGAACATGTAATCACTGCAAAACTTATTAATGAGATAGTTTACATTCTTTTCCTCATCCTATGTCTTCAAAACGCAGTGTGTATCTTACACTTACAGCACATTTCAGTTCGTTGGCAATGCAATGGTTAGAGTGCAATCCTGCCAAAAAAAATAAAGTTGTATTTAAAGGAAAATATTTTACACCACTTCAGTTTTTGAATTAAAATTTAAAAGTCAGTTCCTCAGTTGCATTGGCCGTATTTCAAATCCTCACTAGCCATATGTGACTAGTGGCTGCTATATTGGACAGCATATAGAGAGAATATTTCCATCACTGCAGAGTCCTGTCAATAGCACTGAACAAGAGGCTTAAGCAAGTTTAGGTTCAGTTTTTTAAGTTGCAGTACTTTGTAGGTGTTGCTGTATACTTCCTATTGTATGACATTGTGTTCAGTTGTTCTGTTTTTCATGATGCTAAGATTGATGAGTGGGTCTATGTATGCTTCTGGACACTTTTAAAGAAAGGAAAAAAGATTCTGAGGCTCTTTATTTAGGATGGACTAGGTGGCAGGGAGTGAATGAGTCCCAAAACTGGGACAGAAGCCATTCTGGCCATATGAAAATCATTTGAGGACACTCTGTGATATAGTGGTTGGGAGTCATTCTGCCTGGGTTTGAATCCTGATTCTACCACTTACAGGCTGTTTGACCTTGGGCAAGTGACTTAACCTCTCTGAGCCTCTGTCTCTTCAACTGTGAAATAGGAAACTAATAGTATTGTACTTTAGTTCATAGGGTATTGTGATGATTAAATGAGATAATGTACAAAAAGTATACATTATGCACAGAGTAAGTATTCAGTGAATATTAATTACCATTACTATGTTGCTGTTATTATAAAAATACAGGCTCTGAGGCCTTGCTGCTACAGAATCTAATTTGGTAGGGTCTGTGGTGGGACCCGGAAATCTGCATTTTAAACAAGTTTTCCAGGTGATCCTGAGTTCCTGGACTCTCTGGCCCAGATCCCTTCCTGAGATCTTTTCCTGGGGTGACCCTTGGCTATGTTGCAGCTCCAGAGAAGCACGTGTTGGCTGGACACTCCAGCATCTGTCAGAGGCCAAATAAGCCCAGTAGGACTGCCAGATTTAGCAGATTTACCATTTTATCTGGCAACCATAAATCCCCAATTCAGATAAAACTGTAAACTAGTCTTTTTGCTCCATGGGTCTCTCTATTCCTGCCACATCAAACATAGGGTGCAGGAGCATAGAATGTGAGGACAAAAGCAGTATTTTAGAGTTTTTAGAGATGAATGTAATTAATGGGTCTTGATGTTTAACTTAGGGACATATCTTTGAAGAGGTCATCTTTTATAAGATGAAAGAAAGGGGCTTTGGGAACCATCTTGATCAGTCTGCTCGTTTTGCAGGTGAGGAAACTGAGGCCTGCCTGGAGGGGGCAGGGGAGTGAGTTGTCCAAAGCCAGTAGCAGGGCTGGACTGGAACCTAAGTCTCCAGTTTCTGTCCCAGCATATGTTCCTCTTTGTCATCCCACAGCACTTGTTTCTGTCCTCTGTCACTTGAGTCATATGGTGGGGAGGGGTGGCACCTAGGATAACAAGGGACCTGGGCCTAGAATGTGAACAGAGACCCTTCTGGTGACACCCTAAGGGTGGTTCCTGCCCTTGTGATCCAGAGGGAGGAACACAGCAAGTAGAAATAGAAGGAAAGTCAGTCCCTGGGCAGGCTGGATAGAGCCCCAGAGATGAGTGAGGGGATTCTGCTAAGCACGGTGCCTGGAGACAGGGTCAGGGGTTACACCCATGGGCTTGGGCTCAGGACACACAGGACTGACTGGGCCTGGGCCCTCCTTACTGATGTCTTGCAGAGTGTCCGGAGGAGAGCTCTTCGACTTCCTGGCCCAGAAGGAGTCCCTGAGTGAGGAGGAGGCCACCAGCTTCATTAAGCAGATCCTGGAAGGGGTGAACTACCTTCATGCCAAGAAAATTGCTCACTTTGATCTCAAGGTCAGTGGGGTGGGGGGGAAAGGGAAAAGAATCAGGTAGGAAGAATGGGCCCAGTCTCTCCCAATGTCATTGCCAGGAGGGGTTAGCGCCCACTAGGCCTTCCTCCCTCATCTTCCAGTTGAAAACTCTGAGCTCCTGGGAAAGAAATGATGCCACAGGAGTGTCCCCCTCCTGAGTTTCATTTCTCAGATTAGGTTTTCTTCACCTAGGGGCTGATGGCAAGAAGCTTCTGAATCAGACCACTGGCACCTTATCTCTTTCAGGAAATACATAGGGTGTAGTTTTTAAATAAGTAAGCCAATGACAGGAAACTTGAAACCAAACCCATTTCACAAGACTGAACTTTTCAGTAACCAAGAGCTAACTCCTGAGCGGGCAGAGCTAGACGCATTCAGATGAATACTGCTGAGGTTGCCTGGCTCTCTGGACCCAGCACAGTGTCCAGCATCCTTTGACCAGAGGTTATAAATCTTAGAGCCCAGTGACCACTGGCTGTACTCCCCCACTCTGCCCCTTACTGTGGCCATAAAACTGATTCCGGGGGCCACTGATCATTTGTGGTAACTGGCATTCAGGGTCGAGAAAGTTCACTGTGACCACACAGGACTTCACAAAGCAAGAGTGTAGTCAGAGTAGAAGGATCAGTTCCCATAGTAGCTGAGCTCAGTTGTATAGGCTGATGAGCCTGTAGAGTCACCGGAAGCCTAAAGATCCCCCAACCTGTAATCAGAGGGACCCATTTATTGGGGAGGAGACCCACTGATTTTTTTTTTTTTTTTTTGTTTTTTGGCTGCCTTGGGTCTTTGTTGCTGCTTGCGGGCTTTCTCTAGTTGCGGTGAGCGGGGGCTACTCTTCGTTGTGGTTCACGGGCTTCTCATTGCAGTGTCTTTTCTTGTGGCGGAGCACGAGCTCTAGGCACACAGGCTTCAGTAGTTGTGGCGTGCAGGCTCAGTAGTTGTGGTGCATGGGCTTAGGTTGCTCTGCAGCATGTGGGATCTTCCCAGAACAGGGATCAAACCCGTGTTCCCTGCATTGGCAGATGGATTCCTAACCACTGCACCACCAGGGAAGTCTGACCCACTGATTTTTCTATCCAGAAATTCCTTTTGTGTTTCAAGCATTGTGCTGGATGCCTGGGTGTTGCTACAGGTACAAAATCAACTGAGGCCTTGTTTGAGCTTAGTTCCTCTTTTCCAGGAACTTGTGCAGGAATCATAAAAGAGAAATCAACAACTCTAAGTGCTGTGATAGAGGGAAGTACTGGGGGGCTGGGAGTCTAAATGAGAAGCCATCTAAGTCAGACTGGAGTATCCGAGAGGGGCTTCCTGGAAGAGGTGGTATTTGAATTGAGTTTTGAAGGACTGCCAGGAGTTATCAGAGGGGAAGTGCCTTCTAAGGAAGTGAGGCCAGCAGGTACATGGTCCTGAAATAACACAGTGCATTCAGGATAGTACAGGCAAAGGGTGAATGTGCTGAATGGAGAAGCCAGGAGGAGAGCAGGAGGCAGACACAGGCCATGGGAGCTAAGCCAAGGCGGTTGAACTTTACACTGAGAGATATGGGCCAGATGAGCAGGGAGGTGAGGCGAGCAGATGTGTGTTTCAGAAAGAGCCCTCCAGCTGGGAGCACGGATAGAATGGGGACAGTAATCTGGGTGGGATGTGGCAAGTGCCAAACTAATTTGAGGAGGGGATAGAGTCAAGACCTTTTATAGAGGTTGCTCTGAGGATTGATTAGGTACCTAATTAGATGTGGGACATGAGGGGGAAGGCAGAGTCCAGGATGACACCCAAGCTCTGGCTGGCAGTGCTGGCCCAGAGAGGGTATGGTGTCTTGTGGTCTCAGAGGCTACATCAGGGTGTGGGCTCACATCCCGGACAGGGATCCCACCCCAGCTCTTACTGTGCCCCGTGGGGTGACCTGCTGTGAGTCTCCCCTCCTTAGGCCAGATTCTCGCAGTATTTTGAATTCCTCCAATAGAAGACATCTTGCAGAGTCTCGCACAGGTGTCACGGGGTAAAAGTCAGGGTCACTGAGGAGTATGTGGCCTGGGCAGGGCTTTGGACCTCAGGGTATTCACACACCAAGCAGGAAACGGGCTACCTGGATCGCACGTGTGTCTCCTTCCTGATAATGCTATGGGTAGTTGACTTATTTTCTCTGCCTTTGCTGGCTCCAGGAGGCTGGCCTCCGAATGGCCTCCTTTGTCTTTTCTCTCATGGGGCTGGTAGAGGCAGGCATGTGGAGTCCACAGGCCCCGATGACTAGAGCATGTCCATGCTGTACGGTTGGCTTCTATGGCAGCTTGCTGAAGTGGGGGGAGTTGTAGCCCGGTCAGGGTTTCACCCTCACTCTACCGTGCACCAGGAAACAACTGAACCTCGGTTTTTCAGCTTTAACACAAATGATAATGCTTACCTGTCAGAGTTGTAAAACTGAGAGAGAAGCAGCATCAAGTTCTGGATACCAGATAGGTCCTCTGTAACAGTAGCTTCCCAGAACAGAGGAAAAGAAAACACACCTCCTGTTACAGTGTTTGGGGCCCTGATAGACTAGGAAAACGAAGCCCGCTAGTGCAATTCTAAATTGCCCAGCAGAGAGCTGAGATTGGTTGCTAGGTGGGGCTACTGGTGGGCGATCTTGTCTGGCTCCTGGGCTCAATCTGGACATTTTCCACAACCTGGAGACAGTCTGGGTTTCCCCTGGATGCAGGTAGGTTGAGGATACTGCTGACCCCTACCCTGCCTTGTATCCTTAGAGGGGTATGGACAAGAAGCCTGCTGATTCCCCTACCTGTGGGTACCTTGGCCCAGGCCCAGCTGGGCAACTTCAGAAGTGATGAGTAGCTGGAACTCAGTGGGATCACCTCGTGATTGACTAGACACTTCCTGGAGCCAGAATGTGGGTATGTGTTCCCCTTGGCTGGAACTTCCTGCCAGCTGGAGGGATCATGCAGAAGGTCCAGCTGGTAGCTTAGAGGGGACTTCTTGGTTCCATGTTTCCCACCATATGAAATTCATTTTATATGAATACATTTCTCTTCCTGATTCTCCTTCTCCACGAGGGACCTCTGCTTTCCCCTCCTCTTGTATTCTGTTACTCCTTGCCAAGTGAGTCAGGCTCACTTGGCTGCCCCATGAGCACAGCCACCATTGTTATCTCCATGCCCCTGCTCATGACCTGTTCTCCACGCTCACCTTCCAGCCGGAAGGAGCAGGTGATGGCGGAGGATCAGCTCTCTGGCCTGCCTTTGGAATAGGAATGACCTCTCCTCCTGTGTCAGCCATTGTGCTGGAATGGTAAGGTTCTATCCCTGCTTATGACACACTCCCAACCTTGTGGCAGAGAGCAAGTGAATGGAAAAATTAATGTACAATAAACAGCCTTGGTTAAAACAGATCATGGCATGCTGTTGCCCAGAAATCTGTGGCAGATCCTTGTCACCCATAGGATAAAAGAACCCCTTCTCAGCATGGGGTTTCTTAAACTGTTTTAAATGTTAAAATGTTTAAACATTTTTAAAATGTTTCTTAAACATTAAGGTCTTTCTTAAACTGCCTGAGCCCTGATTCTGGCCTCATCTACCTTTCCCCACTCGAAAACACTAGCCCCAGGCACCAGGATGACAGATACATGTCCTGGCCCCTCTTCTCTGTTCATGCTGTTCAAATCCAGGAAGCTGCTCGTCTTCCTTTTCTCTGCCTATGGACTTCCTGCTCATCCTCCAGGCCCAGCAGAAATGCTATTTCCTCGGGTAAGCAAGCCTTTCCCACACCTGCCAAAGCATAACTGAGAACCAACCTGCTTCCCTGCTTATCTTGCCCCTTGTATAGACTTCCACTGACAGCATTTATCACCGAATTCTCAGTTCTCTCCGGGCATCACTTTCTGCTCTTGTCTCTAGCGCAGTGCCTGACACATGAGTTACTCATCGTTGAATGAATGAGTGAATGAAGGAATGAATGGTTTAGTAAGACAAATGCACGCATGGATATCATCTGGAAAATGCAAAAGAGGTGGCAGGCAGATTTCAATTCAGTGATGTGACATTTATTGAGGGACTATTGTACACCAAGGGGTAGAGTGACAAGCATCAATAAGATATGGTACCTGCCTCCCAAGGGTCCACCATCTACGGGGAGATGGCCGCAGTGAGACTGGTGCCGAGGCCATCTAAAATAAAATCTACCCATGACACTCACTAAGAAACACTCACTTCCGAGGGGTAACCTCTCTGCCTCAGCAGAATGAATACCATCCCAGCGTGTGGTGTAAATTCACCACAGACAGGCCCGCTGGTGTGGGTAGGTAGAGGGGGTGCAGGTAGATGATGTTGCCCTGTGTTTACATAAATGGACAGGACACTGCGACTGACTGCCCCTCATCCTGGGTATCATTCAATGTGCCGTCTGGAGGATGGATACAAGGAAATGGGGCTCAGCACCACCCAGGAACCTCACCCTAGTACGTGATCCCACACAAATGAAATCCTTGTAAGAGGGTGTGTTTGTGTGGTTTTCTGTTTGTTTTGGATTTGGGAGTTTCCCCTCTGAGTATGGGTGTGTCTCCCCTACCTTCCCCAAATCCAACTTGAGAGTTCAGAAATGGAAGGTGACCCTCAGGTCTGACTGGTATTTTAAGCAAAAAGAACACACCATGAGAATTGAATGAAATTGTATGCAAGCCAGGAACCCGGAACTCTGAGGGGACTTTTTGATTTATGTAAACAGTGTTAAGAAGAGTGAATTCCTGAGCAAGATACTCCAAAAATCCAAATTCCTCTGTGTCCCGATCATCCTTTGAGTTGTTTGTATGTTCATGATGCGATGGGGTCTTCTCACCAAGCTTTCATAAGAATGATACTAATAATACTTTAAATGTACGTTGTACTTTCTAGAATACAGCATGCATATACATCTCTCATTTGATCCTCACAGCCACCCACTGAGGTACAAGGTATTGTCACTTTTTTACACATAAAGCAATTGAGGTTCAGAGAG